TTCAGGGCCTTCAGGGTTTAGGGGTTTAGGGCTAAACCCTAAGCCCTCAACCCTAAGCGTTTTGGGTTTAGGTGTTAGGTTTTGAGGTCAAGGTGAGTTTGGGGTGGCATCGGGGTTTTCAAACATCCGGGACCGCCTTTCTCATGGCTCCTTTTGGATACCCAGAGAACCCAATACCCCTTAATTAAGGAATAGACTTTAAATCATAACATTAAGGCCCCTATAATTTAAGCTAATCTTCCTTAATTCAGGTGTGTTGGGTTCTCTGGGTAAGGATCCTCTGAGTTGGATGTTTCTTGAAGGCAGAGATCTTGATGATAGGACTTAAAGTCTTACTAGTCGACCTATTTCTCAGGATCTAGGCTAGAGTTTTTGCGATTTCTTCCGGAATCTCTCGTGGAGGGATCCTCTACCTGTGCCTCCACCGGCCATTCAGCTCTCTTCACTTGCTCTGCTTTATCTACTCTAAAACCTCTCGGCTGTGTCCTCCAATACTTGCTGGCTTAATTACTGACTTACCTACTTACTTGCTTACTTACTTACTTACTTACTTACCTACTTACTTACTTACTTAAACCCTAAACCCTAAAGACTAAACCTTCAACTGTTGGGGGAAAGCTCAAAGGACGTTGGGCTGAGTGCTCTAGGCAGCAAGATTGGAGGCCTTACTAATTGGCACCTGCGGAAGTAGGGCTACTTGTAGCCGAAAAAAACCTACCTTTTTGAGGGTTCCTTGTTATGGTTTTTATATAGAACTCCTCAAGAAGGTAGGCTGTTTGGGTCACAGGTCCGGTTTAGGGCAAGCACATTTTTTTTTCAACTTTTTTTGCTTCAGGTTTGGGGATGTAAAAGCGGAGGCTGAAGGCTTAGAGTAGGGTTTGAGGGTGTTTTTATAGTAGAAAAACGGCATCAACAGGGATGTTATGTCGCTACTCGTTGACACCGAGAGCATCCGAGGTATATCCCAGGCCTAATTGGACTGGAACCCCAGCCCCCAAATCAAGCGGCCGTGAAAATAGGAAGCTGTGATGCTTGAGTGGTTGTCTCTGTGTGTGCGTGGATCCATACTTCAATCCATGTGTATATATGTCTATATAGTGCACACACACATATGAATATATACATATACATATATATATATACACATACATATACACATACATACATACATACATACATACATACATACATACATATATATATATGCATATTTATTTATAAACATAAAGCAACTAACGAAGTAAACGTAATCGCCAATGAACAGATAACGTGTATGAAGCCTTGCGCCGCAAGCTCTCCGCACTTCAAAGTCCCCAGAACCCGAATCCTCAACTCCAAAACGACGCTCTTAGCCCCAATCCCCAAGCTCTTGAACCCTAGGGTTTAGGGTTTAGGGTTTAAACCCCTAAACCCTAAACTCTAAGCCCTAATCCCCAAACTCTTGAACCCTCAACGCACTCAGCCCCATACTCCCAAATCCTACACGCCAAACTCAATAAACCCATTAAATTTGCACGACCTCCCTCCCCCCCTAAAAGCCTTGATCGCTAAAAGCCCTTAAGCCCAAAACCCTAAACCATCTAAGCCCCAAACCCTAAACCATCTAAGCCCTAAACCCTAAACCCGAAACCGAAACCCTAAACCCCCAAACTCTGAAGCCGTTTGCTGCCCGAGGGCTTGAAGCTCTGGAACGGCCACTCGAATCTCGAGGCCCCTCTCAGATGCCGCTTGAAGGGCTGAGGGGTTCAAGGGTTCTGCATATTCATGTCATATGTATATAATATTCATTGCATATTCGTATCATAGCATATCATATCAAATCATATTCATAACATAGCACATCATTCTAGAGTCTAGTCTAGTATAGTAAAGAGTATAGAAATTTTGGTTTTTGGTCGTATCGTATCGTATAGTATAAGATGTTTTATTGTCTTATCTTATTTCTTTTTACCGTATTCATCTTCATCTGCATCCTGTCTTGACCTATCTTGTTGGATTATTGTGTATTGTGTCATTGCTATAACTATGTGCATATATGTATCTATGATTTCATACTACCCCAAATGCCCTGCTTAGCAAATCAGCTTTCAGCTTTAAGGCCGAACTTCGAGACAAAAATTGCGCTCTGCAAGGTAGGTGTTTGGGTTTTAGCGGTTTTAGCGCGCCTCGGGTTTAGGGTGCATAGGGTTTAGGGTGGGCTGTAGTATCTTGGTTGTAAGGGTGCCGGGACTTTGAAATTAGGATTTTCACGCCAGAATGGTATGTTGGATTTGGTGAGGCCTCGCTGTGATATCTTGCTGTGAATGTCGATGTCTCTGTCGGCTTTGCTGGCATTCGTGAACCCCGTAGCCTGTGAATCCGCAGCCAGCACCGTCCCCTAGAACCTCGTCCCTTAACTTCTGGGTCGTTGTTGAATACAATTTTACATGTTGGTTCTAACAAAACCCAATAAGGATCATGTAGTTTAATATATCCCCAACAACAGGGAACCGGCCCTGAATCCCCACAGCTGAAGCGCCTGACTCCTTCAGTCCCAACCCCAAAGGCTTCGGAGGATTCGGAGATCGACCAAACACAGTCCAACTGTGAAGGAACAGCCCTAGGATGTCTGAAGAAGGGAGCTTAAGACATGCAGCATCTCGACTAAACCCTCAACATCTAAGTTCAGCATCTTAGTAAACCGTTGTAAACCCCAAAACCCTCATAGCCTTCAACCCTACCAAGCCCTAAACCCTAAATGCCCCAAACTACCCTAACCCTGAACACCTGGAAACCCTAGAAGCCGCAGAAGTCCTCAACCGTAAACCCTAAACCCTAAAAGCCTTCCTTAAAAGCCTTAAAAGCCCTGAGCCTTAAACCCGAGCCCCCAGAAGCCAACCGGGGAGGTTTCGGTGGAGCACCTGAGTCGGTCTTACACACCGATCAACTCTTCGAAGGACCCATGGATTTAGGGGTTTGGGCATAGGGTTTAGGGTTTAGGGTAACTCTTCGAAGGACCCATGGATTTAGGGTTTACAGTGGGCAAGCACAGAGTCTCTCCCCCAAAAAAGTTTACGGTCTAGGTTTTTATGGTTCAGGGTTTAGGCATCCACGGGCGACGGCAGTTCCGGGCGAGCGAAGCCTGCTGCAAAAAGGCATCCATGGGATTTCTGGTGTTCTGAAATCGGGTTTGGGAAATTATAGGCTTAGGGCATAGGGAAAGTAATATAGCGGGGTAAGGTTTTCAAAGGTCAGCGGGTTTAATAGGATCAGGCTCCGGGCGCACTCCATTAGACGTGATTAAGATAGCTCGGAGAGTAGAGAGGCCCAATGCCGGCATGGACAACGAAGAATCGAGATCCCCTTGATGGCCCTTGTCACTTTATTTGGGAATCTCGACATGAACCCCCACACACGCCCCATTTACCTCCGCAAATTAAGATCCGTTTGAGGCGTCCTTGTTACCCTATGCGAGTTAAAGTTGGTGGCTTGGCGTTCAGCGTCCTTGGGTTTCTCGTGGCTGTTCAGACTGCAGGAAGGCGTCCTCGATATCCTGCAACTCAGTTGCCGTAGACTTCAAAGTCAAGGCAGAACCTCATCTGTGCCCAGCGTCCAGCGTTTTGGTTCATTTGACATCCTCCCTGGCTTTTTGGTTAGAGGTTCGTCCCTCCAACCTTTCATCACATCCGCAAAGTTAATTGTTCACAGCCGGGTATAGTTAGTATAGCTCAGAAATCGAAACGCCTTGCATGACATCCCAGGGCATTCTCGAAAAGAGCTCCAAACACCATGGGAGAATTCGAATCGAAATCATCGACAGGAGCCGACGGTCGACTTCATTGTACCCCGGCAAGAGATCGAGTCTTACGGGACCCTACAGTAAGCCCTAAACCCTAAGCCCTCAACCCCTAAACCATAAACCCCAAACCCTAAAACCCTAAGCCCTAAAACCCTAAACCCTAAACCCAAAGCCTTTTGCCGTCCTCAACCCTAAACCTCCCACAGGAGAAGCAGAAAGTCGAACTTCATTCTTCACCAAGCCTAAAGGATTGAACAGTGGGAGGGGAGCACAACTGGTATCCCCCTTTTCTTACTTGCATTTGTATCGGACTGGGTCAGACACGACGGCCAGATGATTATCCAAACATCGGCCACTATGGCACGAGGAAGCTGTGCGGGAAGTGCTTCTGATAGCTTTGTGTAGCCTTGAGCTTAGCTACTCTTGGTTCATGTGGCGGAAAGATTGCATCGTGGAGCAAACCACAAGCCTCCAGAGCTGCTCGGGCTTTCAGAAACCCTAAACCCTAAACCCTAAACCGTACCAGTATTTCAGAATCCAGGCTTTTCGGTTTGGAGTTGAGGAGAGCTTGGGAAATGCAGGTCCAAGAAGGGCAGTCTCATGTAAAGCTGTAGCCGAAACGCCCCGTGGTGGCCGTAAACTTTGTGCACCGCAGGCTTGACCGGGCTTGAAGACCCGGTTCGATTCTTGAAAGCCTCCTAACTCGACAGCATGGCGCATGGGGGGGCCCTCTCTTCCTTGGGGACGAAATGAACCCTAAAAGGCTTTGGGGTTCATATACCATATAGGGATTCATAGTATAAGGGTATAGGGCCCCTACTTTTAAGGGTCATTTCGTCCTTAAGGTTGCAGCTACATAACGTATACACCGTTTTGTAGAATCCATATCTTTTGCCATATAAAGGGGCCCTCGACCCCAGCCAGAAACTCTTCAGGGGTTTCATGTAGGCCTACAGGACCCCCATAATCCGGGCCCCCCATATCAGACATGTCATCTTCTATTTAGGCTTTAGGGTTTTGGGGGCTTCAGCAATCTTCTTAGGGATTCATCTCGCCTAGTTTCATCCACAGAAGGGGGCTTTTGACCAGAGAGCACGACGAGCGGCATTGCCTCTGAGAGATTGGCCCAGACAAAAGAGAGAGAGTGCTGAGACACTGTTGATCGTCCGCGGCAGTTTTGGAAGTGTGTCAGCCCACGTCAGCCTGAGCTTCTAAGCTCAGCATGGAGCAGACACGCTCGTTGCACGTCTTGACCGCATCACACGCAGATTCTGCCGACTCTGTCGCGAAGCTGATACGTGCCCCCACGACAACTGGAGTCATACTGAAGGACTTTGTGAAGGCATGTGGTTGTGAAGACCTGCTCGCTTGGGCCCGAGAGTACTGCAGCATTGGCGAGCCCGTCAAAGATCAGCTCCTTGGGCATGTGACAGGTAGCCTTGTGCCTTTTCGGTATAAATGTATATACACACGAGCGCACGCACGCACACACACACATACACATACATACATACATACATACATACATACATACATACATACATACATACATACATACATACATGCACACACACACATACACACACATACGTACGTACACACATACATACAGAACTAGATATACACAAAAACTATACATACACATACATACATATATATATATATGACATGTATATGTTTAATATCCATTCTTGTATTCCTGTATGTAGATATGTATGTATGTATGCATGCATGTATGTATGCATGCATGCATGCATGCATGTATGTATGTATGTATGTATGTAAATATACATACATACACACACACATATATATGTATATATATATGTATTTGTATATATGCGCTTATGAACTTATTTATTTCTTCTTGTATAAGTATGTGTTTTTTATGTGTTGTTTCTTTTAATGCTGGCTATACGCATTTATTATGTTATTCGTTGGTTTTTCTTCATAACTGATTATTTTTGTTGATTTTGATTTTTTGTTTACGTATTTACTTCTTTGTTTTGTGTTATATATATATATACCTATACATGTAGATTTAAACTTGCAGTGAATGCAAGCTTATTTTTTTGATTGTTCGTATAGGGTGCTCGGCTTGGAAGGCTCTGCTACTACGAAGGCTACAACTCCGAGCCTGGGGAGCCCTTCAGCGAGCAGCTGAAGCGACAGATCTTAGCCGATCTCCAGCAATGCGGTGAGGACCTCGTGAAGGACTTTCAGGGCTTTGAGGGTTTAGGGTTTAGGGGTGAGGACCTCGTGAAGGACTTTTTGAGGGTTTAGTCTTTTAGGGGTGAGGACCTCGTGAAGGACTTGGAGGGTTTCGCCTCTGAGGGGTGGAGGATCTCGAGCATGGACAAGTTGAGGGTTCGGAGTTTTGCTGGTTGTTTTGGCAGGGAATGATGGAATGGATCCTTATGAGAGTCCGTAAAGAGGAACCTTATAGACGTCCCAAAAAACCTGTGAGGAAGGTACTGTCGACACGCAGTCGGAGATAGTCAGAGGGAGCTCCTCTGCCGCGGCAGCATTGTTCAAGCTGCTCCAGTCATTGATGCAGCTGCACGAGCCCTGCATCGAGACGTCGGGGAAGGGAGGGCAGGACCTTCGTTGGAAGATCAAGGTGGAGGTGAACCAGGACGGCGCATGTACAAAATACCACGATGACATGGTGGAGATCCGCTTCGCCATGACACTCGCCGGCGAGGGTACAGTACTTGCCGAGAATGCTGTCGACTGGGATCTCTATGCATCCAGCGGAGGGGCGATTCCGGCTTTGGCCGAAAACCCCGATCTCTCTGTGGAAGACGCCAGGAAGGTCATTCAGGAGTGGAACCAGCGCGTGAACAGGGGTGGCGAGGTGAACACAGAGCCCGGTGATCTTTCGATCATGAAGGGAGGCACGATGCTGCCAGTATACTAGCATAGACGCCAAACCCGACTCTAATTAATCAGTTCTTCAGGCCCCCTGTATCAATCACGAAACCCTCACCCGCCTTTTAGAAGTCCTTACAATGATCTTAAAGTGCCTTTAGGAGGAGTCCTGTTCTAGATATTAAGGTCCCTATGAGGTTAAGGGCTACCCTTATGAAGCCTAAACCGAACCCAAAACAGTAAACACCCAAAGCCCTCCTAAACCCTAAACTTTAAATCCTAAAGCCCTAAAACCTAAACCCTAAACCTTAAATCTTAAGCCCTAAATCCTAAGCCTTAAGTCTTAAACCCTAAATCCTAAACCTTAAATCCTAAACCCTAAATCCTAAACCCCATACACCCTTTTCAGGCAAGTTGACAAAGCATCCCTGCCTTCATCGAGCGCCCTACTCCGCCGGGGAAGGCTTCAGGGTCTCAGGCTTTAGGGTTTTAGGGTTTTCAGGGTTGAGCGTTTAGGGTTTTAGGGTTTAGGGTTAGGGGTTTAGGGTATAGGGTTTAGGGTTTTAGGTTTTAGGGTTAGGGCTTTAAGGCTTTAGGGTTTTAGGGTTTAGGGAGTTTAGGGTTAGGGTTTTAGGGTGTAGGGTTTAGGGTTTAGGGTTTCAGGTTTTAGCGTTAGGGCTTTAAGGCTTTAGGGTTTTAGGGCTTAAGGCTTAGGGTTTAGGGAGTTTAGGGTTTAGGGGGTTTAGGGTTTCAGGCTTCAGCGATTAGAGTTGCCATTTTGCCTATAGTCTCCATTCTATAGTTCCTTTTATTGGTTTAACCAAACCCCAAACAGGACCCACAATGGAGACTGTAGTACCTCCCTAAACCCTAAACCTTAAAGCCCTAAACCCTAAAGTCTGTAGGTGGGCCTTTCGATCTTTTTTGTGCTGCAGGCTTCGGGCCTTTTTGGGTACCTAGAGAACCCAATACACCTTAAATTAAGGAATATACCTTAAACTATGGGGGCCGTAGTATTATGATCTAAGGTAATGTTCCGTAAATCAGGACCCTAAACCCTAAACCCTTAATTCAGGGGTATTGGGTTCTCTGGGTAGTCGGGCCCTGGAGTCTGGGAGGCCAACAGCCGGCCCGGCTGCTGATTACCGTGGACCACATCCCCCTGGAGGATTTACCATAGGGCTTTAGGGTTTCGGGGTTTCGGGGTTTATGGTTTAGGGTTTAGGGGTTTTGGGTTTGGGTGTTTCAGGGTTTAGGGCTTTAGGGTTTAAGGGTTTTGGGTTTCGAGGTTTAGGGCCTAGGGGGTTTAGGGTGTGGGGGTTAAGGGTTTCGGGTTTAGGGTTGAGGAGGAGGAGGAGTGAAGATCATCTCGATTTCTTGACGTGTACATAAGCACCTGCAGAGGGCTCCCTTTGAAACTTGGTGAGTCTAGATGCTGCGATCTGCACTGTGGATACCTGTACTGCAGACCCATCCATCTATCAACCCGATTTCTGTAAGGGCCTGAATCTTAGGATGCTCATCATCATGTTTGTTTTACGGTAAGGGCGGCTCTGAATCGAGGGTCTACCGTGCAAGACAACTTCTTTGAAGGAGATGCAGGAGTTTATCGCCATGGACTTTGGAGAAGTTGATGAGGAGATGACCGATGCCGTTGAGGCAGAGAAACAGGCAGCAAACGATGAACTCCTTCCCGTCACCGTTCTTAGCGGCTTTCTGGGTGCCCCGCCTTTTTTTGGTAGCCGGTTCAGGGTTCAGGGTAATGGATTCACGGTTTTGGTCTGATCGTCCTGGTCGGATGATCGCCAATCTATAGCAGTTTGGTATATATTATCTTCTACCCATAGGTCGCTAAGTCGTTCCTTTTGGGGATTACCTCATAGGATTCTAAATATAAACCACAGAAAGGAACTAATTAGGAGCCTATGGGTAGTCCATTCCGTTCTCGTCTAGCGTTGTTCCTGGCTTCCTCGAGCCATCTGGTTGAGGTGCTGGAAAGACGACCCTCCTGCAACACGTGCTCACAAACCAAGATGGCTTGCGCGTTGCCCTGATCGTCAACGACATGGCGGAGTTGAATGTGGATGCTATGCTGGTGAAATCCAGCTCACAGCTCATTACTGGAAAGGACAAGATGATCGAGATGCAGAACGGTTTCCGGGTTGAAATGCACGAAATCTGAAGCCAATCGTTTTGACGATTTCAGTGCAATTAATCCTGTGGCCTTAGGCTTTGAGCCTTAAAACTCGGATCACGCAATTGTGTCCTTTCAGTCCTGAAGGTTGCATTTGTTGCACCTTGCGTGGAGACCTTATCGAGAATGTCAACAAGCTGGCGGCAGAGAAGAGGTTCGACTACCTCCTGATTGAATCTACTGGCATCTCTGAGCCTATGCCTGTTGCAACCACCTTCGTGGCGGAGCATGAAGGTCAGCAGATGCTGGGAAAGGTAGCCCGGCTGGATACCCTGGTGACCGTCGTGGATGCCAGGAACTTCTTGAACGATTCTTGGTCAATTTTTTTGGGGGGTTTGCTCCTTACTTGCTACGGTTTGGGTCTCCTGATATGATATGTTACGATCCTTTGTCCTTTTCCTCCTTGCCCTTAGCACTGACACAGGACTACGGTACCGGGGAGTTGTTGAACTCCCGCCCTGACCTTGGAGCCGAAGCCACAGATCAGCGGACCATTGCGCAGCTCTTGGCGGACCAGGTTTAGGGCTTAGGGTTTATAGGGTTTAGGGTTCTAGGGGTTTTGGGGTTGAGGCTTTAAGGGTTTAGGGTTCTAGGTGGAGTGCGCGAACCTCATTGTCCTGAACAAGTTGGACCTTGTAGAGCCGAAGGAGGCTGCGAGGCTAGAGGACATCCTGAGGAAGATGAACCCCAAAGCGAAGATTATCCGGTCGAAGTTCAGCAAGGTGGACCCCAAGCTCCTCCTGAACACCAAGAGCTTCGACATCCATGCAGCTTAGTTCTCCACTACCCAACCTTTAAACTTTTTGGGCTCTTATAACTTAGTAGTAATCTGAAAGTTTAACTTTTTTTTCCTTGAAATAAGGAAGCCGAGCAAATGCCCGGGTGGTTTCAGGAACTTCAGGGGAACCACGTGCCCGAGACCATTGAGTATGGCATCTCGAGCTTCGTCTTTCGGGCAGACAAGCCATTCCACCCCAGGCACATTACACCTCAAGAGTGGAGGGTTTAGGGTCGAATTCCGAAAGACATTAATAATTATCGGATTCCTCTTATTATCATTATTACCATTGTTATTATCATTTTCTTATATATATACACACATACATACATACATACATACATACATACATACATACATACATACATACATACCCCACAGGCCACCGAAGGCCTAGCAGAGAAGATATGATGGATCAGTGCCTCCGGCCCTTGAAACCAAATTACGCCTTGCGCCCTGCAGACGCCTCGACAAGCAACCCTAAAACCCTTGCGCCCTGCAGACGCCTCGACAAGCTTTTCGAGTCTGGTCTCGACGATGTCCTTCGCTCCAAGGGCTTGCTCCTTGGGGACGAAATGAACCCTGAAAGGTTTTTTTTTTTGGCGGGGGGTTCAGGGTTTAGGGTTTAAGGTTTACGGTTTGGGGTTTAGGGTTCATATACCATATAGGGATTCATAGTATAAGGGTATAGGGCCGCTACTTTTAAGGGTCATGAGTCATGTCGTCCTTAAGGCTCTGGGTGGCTGGTATCCACGCGTCGTCGCTGATTTACAACCAGGCAGGAAAACACCGACTCTATCTCGAGTTGGATTTATCAAGCTTCTACTAAGGGCTTCACAGGACCTTGGAAAGGTCTCAATAGAAAGCGTGTTATGGGCTTGGTGGGGCTTTGAGTAAGGGCAGGGTGGTCCAAGATCCCAGAACTAACCCCCAACCCAAGATGGAAACCCAGAGCTCAGCTTTTTTGCAGTCCAGCCGACTTCCGGTGTGGTTGGCAAGCCTTGCAAAAACCGTTCGAGTGCTCCGACTTGTGATGAACTTCGCAACTACACCAATCCTATACATAGCATCTGTAAAATCGTTGTGGGGTGTCGGCTGCTTTCAGGCGTGAAAACATCTTCAAGAGAACCTCTTACCCAGAGAACCAAATACCCCTTAATTAAGGAATAGACCTCAAATCATAATATTAAGGCCCCTTATAGTTTAAGGTATATCCCTTAATTAAGGTGTATTGGTCTCTCTGGGTCTACTGAAGCTCCCGCGCCTTCATGACTCGAACCAGGCAGGCGCAGCCGTCAGTATCGAGTCGGGTGTAGAATGGCTCCACGGCACCGTGGATCTCGAAAACTGGCCTCCGGACGCTTAAATTAAATCTCCAAAACGAACTGTGCTTTCTAAAGATCTTAGGTTGCTTTTCATGTCTAGAATACCTTAAACCCCAAGCCGCCAAACTCCTCACTCTCCTCAGTATTGGGTAGAACCCTCTCAGAACTATGCAAGAAAAAACACCGCAAGTCCTAAACTCTCACACCCTAACCCCAAAGCCCTAAACTTACCCCTAAACCCTTAAACCTAACCCGAAAACCTAAGCCCTATAGACCTACCCCTAAGCCCAAAGCCCTTAACCTCACCCTGACCTCGAAACCCTAAACCCTAAACTCTAAACCCTAGACCCTAAACCCTAAACCCTAAGCCCTAAGCCCTAAACCCTATAAGCCCTAAACTCTAAGACCCTAAACTAAGGACACTCCCGCGAAGTTCAAGACCGCCTTGTACGGGGACCGGAGGCAAGAGTTGGTCTTCATTGGCAAGGAGCTAGGGCTACTGTTTAGGGTTTAGGGTTTAGGGTTTAGGGTTACTCCCCTAGCCCTAAGCCCTATAACCATAAACCCTAAAGTTTATAGGGCTTAGGGTTTACCCAGAGAACCCAAATAACCCCTCAAGTAAGGAACATACCTTAATTCATAATATTAAGCTGCCTATAGTTTAAGGTATTAGCCAGAGAACCCAAATAACCCCATAATTAAGCAAATATACCTTAGAAATTATAGGGGCCTTGATATGATGATTTAAGGTATATTCCTGAATTAAGGGGTGTTGGGTTCTTTGGGGAGCTAGGGCTTCGGGGTGTGGTGTGTAGGGTTTAGGGTTTCGGGGTGTAGGCTTTGGGGTTTCGGGGTGTAAGGTTTTGGGGTGTGAGCTTTAGGGTTTTGGGGTGTAGGGTTTAGGGTTTAGGGTTTTGGGGTGTAGGGTTTTCGGTTTCGGGGTGTAGGGTTTAGGGCTTTGGGGGTTTAGTGGGTGGGCTTTGATAGGTAGAAGAGGTTTCGCGGTATGCTATTGGTACATGGCATATGAACTGAGACGGTCATAACATTCTAGGGGTCATGAGGGATGGTATTCGAAATGCCCCTCTTTGTTTGTCAGCCCTAAACCCTAAACCCTAACCCCTAAACCCCTAAACTCTAAACCGTTTAGCCCCTAAACCCCTAAACCCTAAACCCTCTCTCTCGTTTAACCCCTAAACCCCTAAACCCTAAACCCCTAAACCCCTAAACCCTAAACCCCTAAACCCTAAACCCCTAAACCCTAAATCCCTAAAGAACAGGATCTGAAGGAGAAGGAGCTCAGGGCAAAGCTAGAGCGAGCCTTGGTCACCGACGAGGAGTTCCAGCTTGGCCCCACGGAGTGGGCAACTGGGTTCTGCCCTATACCTTTGGGTTTTGGGGGTTGAGGGTTTAGGGTTTTAGGGATTTAGGGATTTTCGGTTTAGGGTTGAGGGTTTAATGGGTTTATAGGGTTGAGGGTTTAGGGATTTAGGGTTGAGGGTTTATAGGGTTTATAGGGTTTATAGGGTTTATAGGGTTTAAGGGTTTAGGGTTGAGGGTTTATAGGGTTTAGGGTGCCGTACTTTGTAACCGTAACTTCTTTTACTGGTTTTAAGGGGACCTGTCCCCTGCCTAAGCCCTGAGCCGTAAGCACCATGATGAAATACGCGTTTCTACTCTTTAACCCTGGTTCCTTCAACCTCCAAGGCGAAGTGGCCGAATCCATTTCGACCCCGCCAGCGACCGCGGCGGGCTCTTCTGAAGGGGCGAAGGCTCGCGAAGATGGTGAAGAAAGCGCAGTTGAAGTCGAAAGAGCCGAAGGCAAATGAGTCCAAGGCGAGTTAGCTCCACTGCAGGTGGGCAAGGATGGTCCCTCCCTCTCTTCCACCCTAACTTGTACAAACTTTCCGATGTTTCCTATTTTGCTTCTGCCGGCGTCCTGACGTTGGTCCATTGCTCTCGATTTCTAACGATTTCGAGACGCTCGATGAGGGGTGGAGTTTCCAGATCACTCTGGTGGTCTTTTGCGTTCGTAGCGCAGACCTTTGTGACGCCAAAAAAAGTGTTTGTTTGAGCCTGGCCAGCTGTTGCAGCCCCCCTTCTAAACCTCTAAACCCTAAAGCCAGGCCTACTTAAACACAATCCTAATCCCGAAAAACCTCAGATTTCTTCAGGGATACCCTCGCTGTGTCACACAAGTAGCCCAAACAATGAGGATGTCGCTCATAATTTCCGCAAACTTCTGGTTTCAAAGTGTTAGCGCCAAGGATGCCAAGGCATTTATTACGGGATTCGAGCTTTCCCCCCCTCCCCAAAGTGAAAACTGAAGACCCGCTGAATACCCTAAACCCTAATTCTTTTCCTGACCTAGAGGCCTTTGGGGCTTAGGGTTTAGGGCTTCGGGTTTAGGGTTTAGGGACAATGGCAGAGCTCAAACACCAGAGAGAAACAGAGATCGCGGTTGCCCGAGGTCAAGTACTACCCCTCCGATGCCAGCACCGGTTTTGGGGACGGGGGGCGAGCAAGCAAACTTCTCTGTGAAGAGCTGAAGGAAGGTCACTCGGACCGGACAGAGGCTTCGAGTCTAGTGCTCTTAGGGTATATAGGGTTTAAAGATTTAGGGCTTCAGGGATTTTAGGTGTTAGGGGTTTACGTTGAAAGCTCAGTTGTTTTTGGATTTAGGGCTTTACTGTTTTAATTTTTCGGGCTTACTTAGGTTTTGATTTTTTGGGAGGTTAGAGCGCAGGACTTTGGGGTCACATTTTGGGATTCAGGGTTCAACCGTTTCTGGACTGAACTGTGGGGTTTGGGCTTGGGTGTTGAGCTTTAGAATTAGGGTTTGTTTATGAGTGGGGCTTAGGGTTTGGGGCTTGGGGTTTGGATGTGAATGTAGGTACACCTTTTTCGATCTTATGGCCGGGGAGCTCATGAACCCTAAAAGGGTTTAGGGTTCATATACCATATAGGGATTCATAGTATAAGGGTATAGGGCCCCTTACTTTTGAGGGCCATTTCGTCCTTGAGGAAGGCTTACGTTGGAGGCCGTATAGTCTCTCGAATGCGGTATTCTCCGGGATCTCCGAGTGAGTCCCCCAGTGGCTTGAGCTCAGCTCGAAAACCGTGTTCTGAATGGCCCGACCCACTAGCAACAGGAACGTCAACCTCCTTCTAGCTTGTGCCTAGATGATATAACTAGAATATGCCCCGTAGCATATGACACTGGTTAAGACCTTACATAATATGTCTTTTAGTTTTAGTGTATATTTAGTTTCCTATTCCACCTAGAGCTAGCTTCCCAAAGCAACAGTTTTCTGCACTACATAACCCTAAACCCTATACCCTTAACCCTAAACCCTAAACCCTAATTCCTAAACACAAAAGCCTCGGCGAAGTGAGAAGCGCAGTACGCACCTTTTGGGGTTTAGGGTTAGGGGTTTAGGGTTAGGGGTTTAGGGTTTAGGGGTTAGGGTTTAGGGTTTGGGGTTTAGGGTTTAGGGGTTTATGGTTGATCAAGCTCCAGCTTGAACCCCCACATCCAATGTGGGCTCCTGAAAGAATGGATGGTTGGTGACACAAACTCTCTACAAGGGGCTTCATGTTCTTGATGTTTCCTCTGACCCCGGACCTCTTGCAAATGTCAAGCTTAGGGTTTAGGGTTCAAGGTTTATTGCTTTTAGGGTTTATGGTTCAAGGTTTAGGTTTTAGGGTTTAGGGTTCAAGCTTTATGATCAACATGACGACTGAAAACTAAGTCAGCTGTCAGATCCCCGGGGGCCGGGCTTACCTGAACCCCTACAACTTACTTGCTCAGTAAGTTCCAATTTATGCGGGGCCCTAAACCATATACCCTAAACCCTAAGCCCTAAGCCCTAAACCCTAAACCCTAAGCCCCAAACCCTAAGCCCTAAGCACCCTAAATCCTTGACCCTAAACCCCACACCCTAAACACCCTAAACCCGAAGAGCGGGCGCTCGGCTTCCCGCTCTGCCCATGTCGGGTTGAACCGTACCGCCCACAAGCTCGAACCCTATCTCTTCACACCCGGTTTAGGGTTTAGGGATTTAGGGTTTAGGGTTTATAGGGTTTAGGGTTTAGGGATTCAGGGTTTAGGATTTAGGGTTTAGGGTTTAGGGTGTATGGGGGTTTCCCAAAACAGGGGGGTACCTTATTTTGGGGTCCTTATAATAAGGATCCTACTATGTAGGGTACTCTATTAGGGCCCCCTATTCTCGGAAACCCTTGTATACCCCGAAATCCTGACCTCGTTTCTCGCCCCATGGGTACCCATAGGCTCCATAATATTTCCTATTTGTGGTTATATTTAGGGTCCTACAAGGTAAACCCCAAAAAAGGAACTACTTTGGAGCCTCTATGGGTAGAAGCTAAAGACAGCAAGACGCCTAAAGCCTCCAGCCCTTAACCTTCAACTTGACGTCCTTAAGCCCTTAAACTCAACAGCTGAAAGACCATACACAACATAACAACACCAGGCGAACAAACACATCCCTACACCCTGAACGCACGCCCTAAACCCTAAACCCCTAAACTCCTAAACTCCTAAACCCTTAACCCCTAAAGCCCTAAAACCCTAAAGATGGCCCTACCCCTAAGCCCCAACGCAAAAAAAAAAAGCCCAAAGGCGACGAAGTTTGGCTTTCGGGCCCCCATGGCGGCAAAGTCTATCGTGGCAACGGCAATTTCCTGGTGGGGGCCCTGGGTTTAGGAGATTGGGGTTTGGTGTATTTTGGTTGTTTAAGTCGGGTTTTACCGGTACATAACTGTATGGGTTCATTGGTTTTTTTGGTTGTTTTAGGTGGGCCTTCCCGGTTTATGTTCAGGGTTTGGAAGAGTTTTGGGGTTTCCGGGGCAATGGGGGTCTTTCAGGCTCCGGCTGTTCTAGGGCTTTTGGGGTTTAGGGTTTAGGGGGTTGTTTGGCTTGAGGGCTCCGGTTCCAGGTGTAGGTGATGGTGATACACTAGCTTTGCGGATGTCGGTTTCGGAATAATGGTGAACAAGGCTGTGGATGGCATGCCTTCGTGTGCGTCTTCAGGGCCGGAAGTTCAAGTTCGACGTTTGGAGGTTTCTGACTCAGTATTTTTGCATTTACGGCTCCTACTGTTTGTAAGACCTTTGCTTGGCTGTTGAAGAAAATTGAGTACAAGTTACCAGGGTCCACGCCAAAACGGAGACAACCAAACAGTTCCTTTCATATGAGAAATTCAACTAGGCTCTATGACACCCATAAACCTTGTAAAGCCATAGAGGTGAAGGAGACAATTACACAAGACACCTTAGAGGGCGTTTGGGCTGTAGCTTGTCTTAGGGCTTGGGGAGATGGTTAATTCAGAAGTTTAGGGTTCGATAAGTTGCCGGCTGTTAGGTGCAGGGGTGTATTTAGGGCTTATTGGTTTAAGGGTTTTGGGTTTGGGGCTGTTAGCTTCTAGTAATTCGGTATCCCGTCCCCTCGTTATGTGTGGGGGGCCTTTACAGTCGGGATCAGCTGTTTTCCGGCCGTCTCTACGTGCCATTTTCTCAAACTCCCGTTTCACGCATTTAAACTCGGCGGGTCATTCGACCATACGTGCGATACTTGTTGTACTGCTACGGTTTAGGCTGCAAAAAGACGCCAAGCCTCTTGCTTATGTGTTGCTTGGACACAGGTGGACGGCCGCGTTATCAAGGCGGAAACCATCTGTGCACCCAGCCCTGGCTCTATAGCTTTCGGGCGTTTAGGGCTTAGTTGGTTTTGCGGGCAAGGTATGGAAGTGCAGTCATGAGAGCTGAACCTCCGCATGCTCAATCTTTCAGGCGATTGCACAAGTCCTGATGCAAACAGGGCTTAGTTGGGTTTGGACGGTTTGGAATCGTAGTTTCGTGGGTTTGGCATTTTTGTCAGATATGATGAATAGGCTCCTGTTTACGATGTTTCGCAGAGCAGCGCTACACCCCAAATCCAAGCCCGAATAAGGTGTTATCTAGCATCGGTGCGCCTACAAAAGGGCTTGAAACATACTACAATACTATAGGAACGCCCCCCCCCCCCCAAAAAAAAAAAAAAAAAAAAAA